TTTAATTTTTTAACTTAACTTTTATCTTTTTAATTTAGCACTACCCAACCCTGGATTTAATGTAACGTAAATTTAATAAAAATTTGAACTCATAATGCTTTCATTTACAATATTATATATCACCTGATAATCCAACACTTTAGTTATAAATATCTTATAATTTATATGCCATTCCGTGCCTCGCTCTAAAATTATATATTTCAAAATATACGTCAGCACGTTACATTGATCTTTCTTCAGGCTGTAATAGTTTTGTAAAAAAAATCCAGTCATATTTTGTCGAAACAAAATACTGTCGGCAGATTCAATGGTCTCTAGCTCATAGAATATCACTGTGCTTAATACTGCTTTTGGGTTTAACAGAATAAAGATTAAGAGGGAACGACATCTCTGAGCGGTAGCATCCATCATTGATTGTGAGTTATCGAATTTTTCAACAAGTAAATTTCGCCGTATAAATGCGTTAAAGGAGTTTTCATTATACAGATCTTCTAGACAATTGTCATCAAAGTGTCGCTTTATGTATTTTAATATAATGAAGTGCAGATCCTGCTCTCTTAGATGAATCAATATTTTCAATACCGATACATATATTTGATACTTTTTTGCTTTAGTATGTAAATATGCGAATTTATAATGAAAATATTCAAGTATAACGTAGAAATCATTAAGACTTAATAAGTTTATTTTTTGTCTGATAAAATCTAATGTACATAGGTCCCACTCTTTATAGCGCATGATTAATTCCTTCATACCATGTAGTTTGCCTTCGGTGATTCTATGACAGAGTTCTTGAATAGTTAAAATATATTGTTCGGAGTTTCTTGAATGTATAAGTTGCTTTAAGCAAAGGCACATTTGCTCGTTTTTTACCAAAAAATTATTTTGTTTCATAAATTCTCTAAGATAGTGACAGTCTATGATGATAGAACGATGTAGAGAGATCACACTGATCTCATTAGCATAGTTAGACTTCCAAACTCTGTATTCGGAAGAGTCAACGTACTTGATTTGGTTCAGAAGTATAGTAGCCAGTTTGTGATCTAATCTTGCTATAATAGATTTTATTTGGTTGGCAGGAAACATTTGATGATATTTCGCATCATTGTAGTAATTGCCATATGTAAGCCTAAAAAATCTTGTTAAATTATAATTTTCTAAGTAATTTTTTATTTTGCTATGCATGCACTTCTTGATACAGTGAAGTATGTTTTTCACTAAAACACCATGTTGTAAATACTTCTGCTCAATAAATAAAATATCAGAAGTGACATACTTGGGACTGACAAGCAATTGTAACAATATTTCAAAATACATTAATAATTTCTGAAAGCTTTTCATCAGATTTTCTGCTGATATAGTACCTAAGTGCAACCATAGGCATTTATTATATATCTTATAGATTAGATAGAAAATAAGTCGTTTAGCTCGTGTGGTTGTCAGTTCGTTTATGTGTTTAATCGTTATGTCCAAGATCTCTACGCATAGATCTAATGGCATGTGCATGAGTGATTCAATCAGCAGATCCTCGCACTTAGAGTGCCATATTATCTGTGTACATTATACAAATGAAATATGTTAGAAATGAATAATATTATAAAGCATATATGATATTATATATATATATATATATATACATGTATGTATAATAAACATATATGTATATACATATACATACAGGGTGAATCTTAATAACTATACAAACGTTTTACCATGTAAGATAAATTATCGATTGCAATAGAAAGAGCGTAAGAAACTACGCGTAAGAGAAATATTCATTTCCCATAATAAAATGTTGATATAAATTAAGATTGCCCGTATAAAAAGTAAAAAAAATATAGATGCTTAGCTTCTTCATTATTCGATCATATTTTTCTCTTATTGCTACAGAACTATATATATATATATATATATACTACATTATTATTATATTAATTCCTTACGTCGATATTTAAATAAAGATTGTACGGGAGAGATGAATTAATTTATATTAACATTCAAGGAAAAAAAACACTTTATTATTTGATTATCTTTAAACTATTATATGAAGTGAAATTACGAAATAGAAGAGATCTTTTTCGTTATATTATTGTTGTTTTACGTGCTTTGTTAAAATTATGAAAGAAAAAAACAAAAAACATAGATAATATCATATAATACTTCGAGTCATTTCTTATATTCACATACTAAACCAACACTAAATAAGCATTTATACTGACCGTATGCCGTAATCTGTAAAAATTGATCAGTCACAATCAAGTATTCCCCTCTCATTTGACTATAAGAGAGAAATACTCGACTGTGATTAGTCCATTCTTACAGATTACGGCATATAATACGGTTACAGCCAGTATAAGTGCTCTTTAACGTCCCTTTGCACATATATTAATTTAAGAAAAAGAAAATGTCAAACTAGTTTTTAAAAGTGTTTACTGTTCAATACGTCTATAACGTAACTAGAAAATTAATGTTATTTATTAATTATTAATAATGCTTATTATAAGTTATGATTATTATTGATGAACCACCTGTATGAACAGATAAGGTGATAGAGTAGGCCAGATACCGACTACGTGGCCAAATAACACGTCTTGACTAAGAAGGCTCTGCGAGGTAAAATTCGTATTCAATAACAAATAGTTGTAATATTTGGCGAAGGTTGGCAAATAAGTAGACTCCCTTTTGAGATTGCTGAATATCTCAATGTTATACATTCCGATTCGGTTTCTCAAAAAGGAAGTAATTATTCTTATTATTTCGTCAATGAAATGTGAGATTTCTTGCAAAGCTCGAGACGAGAAAAGTTTTAATTCACCATATTGTAGCTGTAGCTTTGATAACATAACTGTTATGTCCTCTGTAATAGTCCGATCAAAAATTTCATCCATCTTGAACAAAAACCTGAGAAATTTGAAAAGAGAGAAAGATAAAGAGACTCTATTAATTAATCTTAAATGTAATGTAATATATAATAAACAATACTATAATATGTACATACACATACACACATATATATATACATATAGGTATGTATATACATAAAATAAATTAAAATAAATTATACAAATACATATATAATATTAAAGAATGAATAATATAACTAAAATAAAATAATTTTATTTTAGTTTTATTATTCATTCATATGTATTAAAGTAACTGGTCCTATTTCTGAATATACATATATTGTTTAAAATGGAATACATGAAGATACAAATGTGACAATATTAGAAGTGTAATTCTTGCTCCATTTTATAATATGGTACTTTTGTAAATTTTATTAAAATAATTATTTAAAAAAAATTAAAGATGAAATTTTAATTAAAATTAAAAATATAATTATATTTTTTCTCCTTTTTTAAAAAAATTAAAACAAATAATTATTTTATATTAATGCACAGTAAAAATACTTTGGTTTAGGTAAATAAAATTGTGCTATAGAGTTTCTCTCTACATGTCTTTTATCATCTTTTCCTTCCACGTTCAGCTAGTCAACTATAGAAAAGAGAGGAAAAAGTTAGATGCAAGTATATAATACCTTTCAACCTCTGATTTTCTACATCAAAATACAATAGCATTTTTGCTTTCTATTACAAATACATAATTTCTATAAATTGTTAAGGTATTTATCAGAACAAAGAAACTAAAACATGTTTCCTCTCAAGAATATTTAAATAAAGATAAATAAACAATGTAATAACAGCATTTGCATAATACAATCTACAAACATAATATAAGATTTATATAAAGCACGAAAATTTTGACTCTTACCAAGACTTTTTATTTAAGGAACCTTTCTTATTCAAAATTTATCTCCATCATCACAAACAATCACAGATAAACATTATTTTCTTCATATATCTTCCTCGAAATTTTTTTTTGTATCGAAAGATGTCTACAAATCAATAATTGCCGAATTCCTTACGTTATCTGTCTGATTAAAACGTAGAAGTCCAATCTTCATCACCACAGATATCACGTTTGGAGTATATCGATTTTTATTGCTGTTCGAACGAAGCTATGATACACGCTTCATATATTTACAAACAGCAGCAGTTAACGATTGAAATATCACAAGCAGTCGTCAAAATTCGTATCGTTAGTTAAGTTTGGATAAACTATTTGCAACGATGGTCGTTAAATATTCTATAAGATTAGATAAACACTAACTTTTTAAATTTTCATTACGGACGTTCGAATTTACCCGATTCGATGATATCAGTCTTGAACTGGCAACTGTGTATAATATTTGAAAACACGTGCGGTTGACATACAATTGACTTTGAGAGCGATTTGTAATTCCATTTATGTTTCAATGTAAATTAACTTTAATATTGGTTCGACTTAGTCTTTATCTTTTTCTAATTCTTAGAACTAGAAAAAGATGAAGAATTAGTTGAACCGAGATTAAAATTTAACTGCATTGTGTTAAAAATGAGCATTATTGGTTGCGTTCAGCTGATTCAAGTATTGCGGAGCGGATCCGTGAGCGCTTGGTGTCATTGGGTGATCTAAAAGAATACACCAATAGCAGCATGCGCTTACTGATCCGCTCCGCAACAGTTCAGTCTGCTGAACGCTATCAATATCGAATCAATTGATTAACGATAATAGCTGAACGTTGAAATATATTTTACTGCTTTTCATTCGCAATAATTTGAATGTACCTGACAGCTCGTAATAAATCTTTTATTTATTCTCTGCGATAAATATTATATGTGTGAGAACGTTATAGAAATATTAATTGAAAATCGACCGATGGAATTAAACACACACGAGTGAAAAATGCTATTTCGGCAATGCTATTCTTCAATGCTATTTCTTCAATGCCTAATAATTTTTCGTGTAAATTTATACAATTTTCAATTCAAGCAAACTGTGCGTCAATTATTTGTAGATTTTAAATCACAGTCCTAAACCGAAGTGAAATAGTAAGGAGATCCCGGGGTAAGAAATTTCGACTGAAGTAATAGGGTAAGGTTGCCGAAATCGCACCACTTTTTACTTAATGGCTCATAACTCAGAAATTATGAAGAATGTTCTTAAGTTTTTTACAGCATAATAAACTGTACTCTTTTCCCTTTCTTATGTAATTTTTTCATAATTTTTTTTGCGCTATTATAACGTTTAAAATCAGTATTTTTTCAGTATGGTGCGATTTAGGCAACGAGGAAATTCCACACCAATATTCCTCATTTAAAACATTATGATAATGTAAAAAATTTAAAAATTACATAAGAAAAGGAAAAAATTGTATCTTATTATGCTGTTAAAAATTTAAGAATATATTTTTCGTAATTTCTGAAACACATGATAATTTCAAGAAGTAATTTAAGGAGTTTCTACGTGAAACAAAATAAACACTTCGTAGATTTACAATATACATTTTTACATAATAATGAATGGAATAAAAATGTAAGAAATGGAAAGATATTATGTAACGTGCAATTTAAGAAGTTAGATTATGGTGCGATTTAGGAAACTAGAGCATTTTTTAAGTTTTTGTTTATTTTATCTATAAAAAAAATGTAAAGCAAACTTTAATTCTATTAATTTAATTTTAATAATATTCTAATCACGCCAAATGGTCAAGACTTAGGCTATTTAAGTTATATTTTCTGTAATTCTGCTATGAAATACGTTGAAAAATAGCACAACGCTATCACGATTTTTTTATTTATCCAAATAACAACACTCTTGTTACACTTTATATCACGAGCATAACAGAGTAGCATTACAGTATCACGTAGTTCTTAAATAATCTGTAAGAAAGTATATAAATACAATATTGAATTTTTAAGCGAGGTAGTGTGATTTAAGAGTAGCCGGTGCGATTTCGGCAACTTTACCCTATTTATCGCAATAAATTATTCACTGTTTTTAAGATGCTTGATAGCATCAAATTATTTGCAGCAATAATATTAAATTGCTTATCAATTTAATTTGTGATATTATTGCTCCAGCTTCTGTTTAGAATTGTATTTCAAGACCGATAATTAATCGGTCTACAGTTTGCTTGAATTAGAAATTGTATAAATTCACAAGAAATATTATTAACACCGCTTTGATTATATATGACATTTTTCAATCATGTGTGGAAATAGATATAATTTCTAGATTTTGTTAAATTTTATCACTTTTATGTATATCTCTTGATGATATCAGGTTACATAATTGTAAATAGAAATACAAGTGCATTTTGCATTATATTGCATAATACATATAACATATAGATTATGATTGTATATTGTATAAGTGTATTGTGTCACTTACATTCTTACATCTGTATTATGATATATGTACGTATATCATTCTTTCTTTTTTTTTCTGAAGTATTCGTTGCATTCTATATAAAAAGTATGGAATAGTGCAACGAAAAATGGATTTAAAATCGATAAATATAGAGGATGTTTTAAAGCATTCTTTTTGAGAGCTCGAGGTATTAATTCATTTAAAAAATTCCAGTTTTATATTTATTTAAAAAATGTAGAAAATAGTATCTATTACTGAAATCGCAACATGAGAGATATGGAGTGTTACAGACTCTATTTTATAAACTAAAATTGATTATACCGTATAGTGTACTTATGTATAATTATCTATACATTGTACAAATTGTTTATCTATATGTACATTTTTTTAAATGTTCGATCAATTACGCGAGTAATTGTACTAATGGTAAATAATATAATTTTTTTCTAGGTGATCAAAATCGTATTATCTGATATTATACGAGTATGTGTATCACATCAGATATCTAAATAAGTATAACAATCACAAGGCATTATTTATTTCGATGTCAATTATAACTCTTAGATTATCTTAATGATAAGGAAAAACACGAACTAATGAGAATACCATATGGTACAAGTTAATGAGAACAGTGCGCAAAAAATGGTTAAAAATTTTTATCGCTTTAATACAAGAACAAGATAACATCAAACTCGACTCTCTTCAGAGTCATTTTCAGCAATCAAACAATTATTTTAACGTATTCCTCCTCAATCCAAAAAGGTTAAGTCACTTGCAGGTTGCCGAATCTAAAATAGTATCTTTATAATAAACAAATATATTGGATAATCTATGATGCTCTTGAAAGATTTTTTTGTTAAATGACTCCTTTCATTGTATTAATTATCTTTTTTATGATATTCTTTCCATTATTATAATGTGGAGATTTTCTTCTACATTTAATATTTATAGAAGGAACTCAATTTATCTCTTTTCATGAAGCCTAATTTTCACAATTTTTCAGAATAGAAGTATTAAAATTAAAATTATTTTTGATAAAAAATCATTTTTAGTTATTACTTTTAGTTTACATCATAATCTCCCCGTTATAAGAATATGAAATTTTTATTAATATCATAATTCGGTTTACATGATGATAAAATTTCAACATATAATTGAGAAGAAAGGTTTGATGAAGCTAATGTTTGCCTAAAATGTTTAAAATAAAATTCTTTTGTTTCTAATCTCTTGTATGTATATTTTATTAATCACAATCATCATTTTAATAATACATGTCACATATGTATATACATATTTTTTACAAATATTTATACGTATGTATTTGTTAAGTATGCAAGGTAAAAGTCAAATTTGCATGCAGTGTCTCTGCGGTAGTGGAAAATCATCGAATGTTGACTATAATGTATTGTATTTAGTTTGTGTAATTGAACAATTTTTCATTGCTTCTTCTTATTTTACACATCTATCATACCTCGAAAAGTGTAAAATTATTACTAATATATCAATAAACAATTATTAATATATAATTATTAATACAATATGTCTATAAAATATATTATCTCCTACATTTTGGAAACGGTTAAAATTTATGAAAAACCGCGATTTATGTGTTTGATCATTTCGAAGAGTTGCATTATATAAATAACTACTCGAAATGATCAAACATGTATTTCGCGGTTTTTTATAATTTTAAATTGTACCGAAATGTAAAAAGGGGTGGGAATAGAATTTAAAAATACCCTATTATTAAGATAGATAAAAATTAATGTAACGACAAAAGAGCAATGAAAAGTATTACAACTGTAGTATCCAAATGTCAGTTTTCAGGAGAATTATTTGCACAATAATGTTCTTTTTGTATATAGATAAATTATATATTTTTAAAACAATTTCGAAACGATACAAAAATGTCGAATAAATATAAAGCACTGAATATATACAAAATTATATGCATTGGTATTATAACGTTTGTTGCAAATACCTTTAGAAAATTGTAAATAAAGATGCTCAATGTTATTACATTGCACAAATATAGTTACAATGCTATTCATTGGATTGGACAGAAAAATTCTTCCGAATGTTTTCTTCATTTTTTATACAGCACTAGATTCATACTACTACTTCGATACTACTTCGTTACTTTAGGATAACTATATATTATGACTAAATTTAATTAGAAAAATAATTACAGAGAGATCTCGCGAAGTCGGTCAAATGACTTATGACTTATGACACTTATGTGAATCTGCCATTCGACTTAAAAAAAAAATTTTTTTAATACGCATTAAATTAAACTAGATTTGTATCCGTTTGTGCCACTTTCCTTTTTGTTTGTACCTTAAGGAGTTCAAAAATATAAAGGGTTGAAAAAAAATGCTAACACTTTTAAAATATTTTAAATCCACAAGAATGATTCTATCTATAATTAAAATATTTCCAAAAATGACATAGTTTTCACCTCATTTTTTTAAATTTCGGTACACTCACCCCCTTAAGGGTATAAATGAAACCGGTTATGGTACAATCGGGTACAAACGATTACAAAGCAGCATCCGCTTGCGGATTTAAAATATCTCAAAATGTTGGCATTTTTTCAACCCTTTATATTTTTAAACCCTTTAAGTATAAACAATGATACAAATGCTAGCTTAATTTAACGCGTATTTAAAAAAAAATTTTTTCTTAAAGTCGAATGTCAGGTTCACATAGGTGATCGAATGTCTTGAAAAGGATTCCGCATGATTTATATAAAAAAAATTGTTTCAGTTAATTTGCTTGAATCTGATGCGATATGTTATATTATAATTCTTGCATCCCTGATCAGAAATCTAAATGGACCATACACTTACATGTTTAATTTCTAAGAAAAAAGCATTTGAAGGTCTCTTTTATGAGACCCGTTCATACGTTTGCTTATACGAGTTTACATTTGCGTGCTCGAGTATATATATATATATATACATAAAAAATATATATATCAAACTCGTGTAGATAAATGTAAGAATGAAATTTTCTATATATAAAAAGAGATTTTCAAATGCTTCTAACTTAGAAACTAGTAAAAGCATTTTGCTATTAAAATCTTTAATCAGCGATGCAATAACTATTATATATTACAAATTCAAGCAATAAATTGACTAAAAACGTTCTTTTTTCATGTAAATCGGATTCGAGATCCTTTTGGAGAAAGATATTTAAAGAAAGAAAGAGAAAGATAGTTTCTGTGTATTATTACATAGAAAAAATTTATTTTTGTATTCTTATCTACTTTGTTACTGAAAAATTTAGGGAATTTTAAAAACGATCAATAATACGTAATTTTGCGAATAACTAATTAAAAGTACGAAATAATCAATATAGAAGATAGTTAGAAAAATGATAAATGATATTATTAATGACCAAAAAAAAGTATTTGTGCAACACTCAATGCATATTTTTTCTCGATTTCGTGCAAAAACAAAAAATATCGTTATAAACGAAATGTTTTATAAAATGTATCGATAATACAGAAAAAATACTAAGATACGTATTCCGATATTAGAATATTATTAAAAAATAATAAAATTTTACTCTGTCCTAGAAAAGACATGCAAATACTTTTTCCATGCTTTAACAAACATAATCGTATAACAAAAGAATAACTAACCTACTCCTCCAGGCGTAAATTCCGCAGTAATCGCTCGGAATATTGAACATTTGTATTACTGTATAACTTCATACATTCGCATATGAACATGTACGCATTGTACTTTGCTGCAATTTCTTTTTTAATTAATAAAGCGTGATATTTACAATAGAAATTTTCATCACAAGTACTGAAAAAAACATACATAGATATATTTAGTATGCAATCATATACATATAGGATCCGTATAAGTGACGAATCCTTTTTTTCTTATAAATTAACAGAGATTAGACCTAAATAAATATAATATGATTGACATGTTAACATGTTGTCACCTGATCAATGCAAAGAGTCAGAAGTTGATCATATCGCAAGGCCGCAACAGAAAGTCTAAGTGTACTCATAATAGTGTTTAGTTAGAAATTATGTTTAATTTTGTTATATTTATTAGGTCTAGCTCTGTTAGTTTCTTAAAAAAGGATGATCACTTATTCTCGCGAGGGCATTCTGTATACTTATATACAGCTACTCTTATAAAACTTTTTTGTTAAAACTATATCTTTTTAAGTTTATATAACATTCTAATATGTTATATTTCTATAATATATTTATGGTAAATATTTTTGTTTCTCTCTCTTTCCACCGTTAATAATATTTTATATAAGTTTTTATAATATAGATAATTCTATATTTAATGTTAATGTTATATATATAATTAATATATTACACATTAATCGATTCCATTGTAACATTAAAAACACTTTTAATTTCTTTTTAAACTTAGGAAACTGTTGCCTTTACCATATTTTTTAAAATAATATAATAACGTTTTGCATATAATATAATATTCTTTCAACGTTTCAATAACATTTTGTTAAAGTTGTTAGGGTATTTCTTCTGACAAATTGTACATTAAAAAAAATAAAAAGTGATAGCAAAAGAGATGTCATTTGGTGTAAAAAATAATTACAGTGCTTTGCGAACTCGAACACAAAAATTATAGAGAATTATTCAGAAACGCATTACTTTAATGTACGTATAAGTATACTTTTGATAATACACAAGTACTAAAACGTCGCTTTTATATATATATATATATATTAATCTTTTTAACCAAAGAAGAACAATGATAAGAAAATAGAATTCAAATAAAATAAAAGAATAGAAAAGTGGAAAAAGAACAAATATTCTTGTAATTATTATAATAATTAAGAAAACATATAATTTTCGAAACAAAAGAAAATATTCACGTACCATTTTTTGTGTGCGAGAGGCATTGTCTCAAAATCGTATTCAAAAATATTGTACATCCATTTGTGAATCTCACTAAAATATATTTCTGCTTTCAATTGTGGATCTATATTTTGAATGCGTTTAAGCCAAAGATCGTACATTTTTCCATAATATGTTTTGCTGACAATAGTATTTATGGAAGACAGAGTCCTCAGCAGGTTATAGCAAATCGTTTTGTGGTTGTCGCTTGTCATGTTCCTTGTAACACTTCTAGCAAACTTTACGATTGCGTATAGCAGCATTATAAAAGTGTGCTTGGGAAATGTGTCTAAATACATCAAAGCGACTTGCGATGCATCGGCAGTGATACGCATTATGTTTTCGTATGCCATCATTTCGTCGGTCCAACCAAATTCATACCAGTATATGAATGTCATTTCGTTCGCAACTACTATGTACTCCTTCTCGAAGCAATGCAACATCATGTGACGTATAAAAGCCTCTCGATCGAGCTTGAAAGATTGCACATAACTGCGCAACTTGGGATGGCATCGTGGATCTGTGCGCAGTCGTCGATGCACAAAGAGGCAACGTCTCTCATATTCCTGGATTATTTTCAGTGTATTCATCATAGGTTGCGTTTTTTTTATATCGAGTGGTTCTAAATGACAGCTACTTAAGCGTATTGTTTTGTAATCCACATTTAGCGGTGCATTCGGAAAGTATAGTAGATCAGTGATTATGTTATTTACAAGTTTTACTCCAAGTTTGTATATTACGAATTTTGAAAAAATTGAATTAAATTTCCTTAGCAGTGATGCCTTCGTGATTAATATTACTATTAAGTGTGTGAAATTAGTTCTATGTGTGTAGATTTTTTTTTCCACGATGTTATGTATATGTAATAATATAGTACGCATGTTGAACTCTTCAAAATAGCTATTTGTCAGATAAGGGATATAAAGTTCGTTTATTACATCATCCACAGTCACTATCTGTGAAAAATTTAGGAATAAAATATTAAAAAGAAATTCTAATAAAATGATAATTCGTAAAAATGAACGCAAATTACTATCATAACACATAAGTTTCAATCAGCGTTTAACAGTAAAATTGATCAAAATTATATTCAAATAATACTTAAGAAAAATGATACATTCTTGTTTACTAAATGTATACATATATAAAATGTTAAATTAAATATCTGTTTAATATTAAAAAATTTGTATCTTAAAAATAATGAATATGAACAGATAAAGTTACAGAAAAAATTCCTCATGTATCCGTAATTTTATAAGAGAAAAATATGACGTATGCAAAAATATTTTAGATTTTTCTTTTAATATCATATAACTTTTGTTTGATTAATTCTTTCAAAAAAATTTTCTTTAAACTACTTAAATAATCTGTTTTAAATGGTGTTCCTTTGCAATAACATAAATAATCAAGGTATTTCTCCGGCTACAATCGCGCTAGAAAGTTAATCGCGTACAACTTACGAATGCTCTCTGAAGAGAGAAACTTTTGAGGCGAACGTATGCATGTATACACACACGCATAAATGTCTTATCTGTGTGCACAAACACTAGTCCGCACTGAAGACAGTTGAAATGTCACAAATGTGGCAACAGCATGTCCTTGTCTCGCCGCTGGGCGTGCGAGAAGGAGAATTTCATCAAATTACAAATTTAAACTATTCTAATTCAGAAATGGCATCGTTAGGCCTCCCCATTTTTTTTATAAGATTCCTATGATATTTCTACATTACATATTTATTTTTTTTTTAAATCTGTAGAAGATTTTCGCCTCAAAGTATATCATTCGGCAAGGCTTGGTATAGGAGTTTACGTGTTAAAAGACTTAAAAAGCTGAAACTTTGAAGGTGAATATTTCCATTTTGAAATTTTATATAGATAAAATTATTTTAAACATAATATCCAAATTTCAAAAAAATCTGTAGAAACTCAATTTCTCGGAGAAATACCTTAAAAATATTGTAGATATTATTACGACTAAAAAAAAATTATAGAATTACATCAAAAAATCAGATGTAACATTTACAAAATTGTATATCACCTGATAATCCAATACTTTATTCATAAATGTTCTAAAATTTGTATGCCATGCCCTGCGTTGCTGTAAAACTATATTTTTCAGAATGTACATCAGCACGTTTGATTGATCTTTTTTTAAGTTGTAATAGTCAAGTATAAAAAATGTAAACATGTTTTGAAATAAAATACTATCAGATGATTCAATGTTTATTTCATAGATTATTAACTTGCTTAATACATCCTTTGGGTTTAATAGAATAAAGATCAAGAGGGCATGGCATTTCTGAGTATTCATCATTGATCGTGAATTATTGAATTCACCAACAAGTAAATTTTGTTGTAAGAATGTGTCAAAGGACTTTTCATTATACAGATATTCTAGACAATTATCGTCGAAATGTCGCTCCATGTATTGTAATATAACTCTGTGCAAATCGTGCTCCTTTAAATAGATCAATATTTTCAGTACCGATATGTATATCCGGTATTTTTCTGTTTTAGTATGCAGATATGCGAATTTATAATAGAGATATTCGAGTACAACATAAAAATCATTAAGATCCAAATATTTTACTCTCTGTCTGATAAAATCTAATGTATACAGGTCCCACTCTTTATAGCGTTTAATCAGTTCCTTTATACCATGCAACTTGCCTTTGGCAATGTCATGGTAAAGTTCTTGAAGAGTTAAAATAGATTCCTCGGATTTCATTGGCCCTATAAGTTGTTCCAGGCAAAGGAACAATTGCTCATATTTCATCAAAAAATTATTCTGTTTCATAAATTCTCTAAGATAGTGACATTCAATTATGATAGCACGATGTAGTGAAATCATAGTGTTCTCATCATCAACGATGTTTCTCCAGATTGCATACTCGAAAGAGTCAACGTGCTTGATTTGATTCAGGAGTAGAGTGATCAATTTCTGATCTAATGTTATTATAATGGATTTTACCTCGTTCGGAGGAAGTAAGTGATAACAATTTATATGTTCATTGCCGTATGTGAGCCTGAACAGCATTGCTCGATCATTATAGTTTTCCAAATAATTTTTAATTTTGCTACTTATGCACTTTTTGATACACTTAAGTATGTTCTTCACTAAAATACCGTGTTGCAAGTATTTGTTTTCAATAGATAAATTATGAGAATTGATAAACTTAAGGACAAGCAAATTTAACAATATTTCAAAATACGCTATTAATTGGTGAACACAATTCATCACATTTTTTATTGATATAGTGCCTAAATGCAACCACAAGCATTTATAGTATACTTTGTAGATTAGAAGGAGAATAAGGCGTTTGGCTCGTGAAATTGCCAATCCATCTATATGTTTGATCGTTAGTTGTAAGATCTCCACGCATAAATCCAATGGTATGTGCACGAGCGATTCAATCAGCAAATCCTCGCACCGCGAGTACCATATTATCTGTAGATATTATATAATTAAACTATGTTAAAAATGGATAATACAAAATATATTTAATATCTAAAGAAAAATTATATTTAAATTGAAGAAATCATTTGTTTTGTTGATTTTTTGAAAAAAGTTGAAGTGAAAATAATACCATTGAGAAAAATAAAAATTTACTTGATTTAAAAAAATTCAAATCAAAGAAACTTTCTTAACAAATTTCTTTGACTGAAACAAATTTTTTTTTAATCTAAGAAACTTTCCTCTGGGTAAAGAATGTAACTTCACTTATACGTATATATACAGGGTGCCTCACGGGAAGGTATTGAAACTAATCAGCTGTCATTTTCGAAAGTATTCAGTTATTGAAAAAACAAAAATTATGCTGAAAAGAGAGAAGTCTGCAATTTTTAATGAGCATAAATAAACTTAAACAATAAGAATCTTATTTTTAGACCGTACCATGTGAGAAACACAATTAATAATAGAAATTCAAAGACCTATACCGGTCAAAGCTAGATCTTTAACGCTTTTAAATAATTCAATGTGAATTATATATATACTATATATATACTTGCATATATAACATATTTGTAGTCCTTCGAACTGCGCGCCGAATTGGTTTTCCGGACTTATAAACGCAATTAACTACTGGAATAATATCACGAATTAAATTAAATTGACAAGCAATTCTTAAATAATTTTGATGTACAATCAGGCATCATATTAGCAAGATGTTAATGTGCTGAAAAACTGTAAATAAATTTAAGAAAAATATTACTTCGGCCGGAGTCGAACCCGAATCTCTTACATTCCGTGTGAACGTCCTTATCAGTTAGACTACCGAGGCCTTAGTAATATCTTTCGCATAAATAAAATTTAACAAAATGTTTGTGTATCAGTTAATTTTATTGATGAAAAATATGTTCATAATCCCAAGGAGTAATTTTTTCGGAGTGCGTACCATCCGAATTTGTACAAAACACAATTTTGTTACGAAAACTTGTAAAAACTTTTTCTAA